ATGGAACGCGGCACAAGCGCCAAGCAAACAACTAACCCAGATTCCATCATTTTCATTCTGGTTTCAATTAGCTGTTGAGGATATGGTCCTCTATTAACTTTATATGAAAACAGAGGAAAATTCCGTTACTCGCCAAAATATGATTATGGGCGATCTTTGACTATCCGGCAGGACTGCAAAGATACGCAAAACACCGAAAATATCCCTCCAGTGGCTGTCTAACATAGAGGTTGAACTTTAACGTCATACGATAAATAATGCAGAGTTTCTTTCGATCCTAACCTCATTACTGTCATCGCAGTGGACATGGATATTGACGAGGTGACGGAGAGGCGAATAGACAAACTGGCCGAAAGATGTGACATGGAAATTGTACTTTCGGCAGCGTAGTCATAAGCTGGCGGAGCTTCCATTCGACGCTCCAGACATCGCCCTTCTGACCGATGCGTCATTGATGAAAATACCGGTCATCGTTAATCTGAACACATGCATTAAGCAGAAATTAGAGGAAAATTTTCGGTTTCTGGCGAGAAAGTTCCTGAGCCAGAATGAATGCGGATGAAGCTCGTTCATTGGAGTGACAGAACAAAACGTTACGGATAAAACGGACCGACAGAGACACAAACTTACCTGGTCGATGTGCAGGTTGTCTGCAGTGGTGGCCTGAACATAAAGTGAGTCGCGCCGGAAGAGGGCTATCGCTGATAGGAGGATGACACCGCTGAGGAGACAGGCGCAACATGCGGCACGGCGCCCGACTACTGCCATTTTGCTTGAGGTCACACGCAGAGGAAACTAGCGGCTGCGGCGAGCAGAACAACGTGTCTTCTTGCTGTTGCTGCTGCTGCTGCTGCGGCGATGATCGCGTTCCACCTTCGGCAGATGTCGGAGGAGCAAGAAGGGGCGTGACGAGAAGAATCAGACACGAGGAACGGCGGCTGAGGCAAATCTGAAAGAGTAAAAAGACTAACTTTGAGAAGCAGTGGTTAGAGGAGAGAAGAAATGCAGCGAGCGACGACGAAGGGCAAGGAAGCACGCGAGACATGGTCGGCGGTCCGGTCGCTACAACAACAACAAGAAGGCACCGAACAAAGGGGACACGCACGCCGAAGTCGATATCAGCCACAACTTGGTCAGGAGGATCGAAATGCACTGTTGGCAGGCAGGCAACACAGCCGCAATTTGTCACTGAGGAAAAACAGCACTCTTTATCTTACTTAGCACAAACCGACCGATGCACTGACGGACGCAGGCGGGCACGCAGGAAAGTGAACGCCGTTACCGACACACAACCACCACTGTTGCCGGCGCACTCTGTGTGAGGCACACATGACAACGATTAGTTAATGAAGAATCGTCGCCATTCGCCGCCATGCGGTTGCGCAACCTCCAACAACATTGACGGCTGTTGCGCGCACCGTGGTCATCGGGTCATCGTCGTTGCCCATTGTCCGTCAGTGTCGGTCAAGTAGCCGTGGCCATCGCACTGACCCTCCTCGCACCCCCGCGTCTGCAATAGCCACTTGCTCCTCGCCATTAACGTTTATATGACACCGTTCAACGGTGGCATAATAGAAATTCGCCTAATGGCTCGAGTACCAAAGCGTACTATCCACGGATTTCCGCCCTCGCCGAACTCCAGTCATTCGTAATCACCCACCTGACCGTCCGTCATTCGCGTTCCATACTCAGATGTCGTCTCAGATGACGTCATCAGTGGAGACAGGCGAACTGACCAGAGGGACCAGCAATATGTTGGAAATGTCGCACGTGCCAGTGCCGGCTGGCCGGCCGTCCGGCCGGCTTAAGTCGTATGCTTGGAAGACTCGAACCTTGAGGTGCGCGACGATTCAACTGGCATTCTAGTGACGGACCACCGTTTCTTCAGAGTCAAAAGCACGCTGTCCCGTCAGCAGCCGAATCACCGTCCGGCATTAGCATACAGCTTTTAGTTATAAACAGGTGATTAACACAAAATGCGGTTTTACGTCTTGCTATTGGTCGCCGCGTTTCTGTTCCAATCAACATGAAATTTTTCCGTTCGTGAGAGCTCTGCTGGAAATTAGCCAGCCGGCGTAAAGTGGTAGTTACTAATCAATGGACTCGGTGGCGAAGGTATAGGTGGCTAAGCAGAACTGAGGAATTTCACTTGCCACATTGAACACAATGAATGAACCAGCGGGATTAGCAGTGGGCACCGGAGGCCGGGTGGAATTTGAAGCAACATGACATGAACTACACCAGCTTTCTGCTTACTGTGACTTCAGAAGTCCTCACTGGTTTCAGCACCGCTCAGACATCATGAAGGTAGCACTCCTGAGCGATCATGGTCTTAATACGATCTCTGGTTCGTGTGCTTCGTTCTCTACATGTTCTAGAATTTTATCACACACACACACAAGTATTTGATGCTACATTGGCACCGCACAAAGCGGCACAAAGATTAATCGCCGTGGTCGGCCGTCTGACGCAGCTGGCCCGTGCCACGAGTACCAGTCTGGACCTCGTTCGTCACGCACGTTCCCTAAAAACAGCGTTACACAATCGGTTCAGCTCTTTTTTTCTGCCTTCTAATGAGATCATGGTTCGCGTGTCACTCTTGTCCCTTTCGTTGAGCATTCACAAGTTCTGCCCCGGGAAACCACTTGGCCACCGGGCACTGCTGCAACCTCAACTCAAACGATGTCTTGCATGACACTGTACAAAAAACATTCGCTTCGACGGTCCCCCGCTTTTCTTTCGCACAGTGAACCGTTTCGGAGACGAGCGATCAACTTCAGTGACAGGCGATCGTTGTGCAGACATCCGTACCCTAACTCAATGTCAGTGTTTAAATAGCGACCACAGACAAACATCCCAATTTACTGGCAGCCACTTGGTAAAAAAAACTTTGCTTTTTGAATCTAACTGCCAAAAAGCCATTTTCCTACGGAGACTGTTTCAAGGTCAAACAGGTCATATGGGAAGAGATTGACTCGGACAAGTCGAAATATGGTTTTCGCCTCATATTTGTGATCGACGTGTGTGTGTATTAAATCGTGTATGAATTTATTTGGCTTTGCGCTTTTCATTCGACCATCTTAATGACCGTAACCCAGAGTTTTCCTATGCGGTGAGGATTCGCGGAGCAACTGCATATCATGTTTTCTTCTTACTGCCTACCGTATGATCAAAACGTGTCGGTTTTCCTACTTCAACTAGGTAGTGATCGTCAAAACTCACTTCGCAGGGAAAACTTCTTTGAACTCCATCAGTGCTGTGATGCCGTGTGACGGTCTCCGAGGAGTTTCAACTACATCAGTCGATTGCGCTGCTGGCCGTTCTACTGTATCTTAAGAGCTGGGATGCTAAGAGATACTGTACAAATATGTGTACAGCAGATATTATACAAATACTCTGAATTTTTGGGGATCTGTTGGGGAGATGAACGATTTCTTTATTCTGTTTTCAAGCGTAATTCCAAACTATGGCCTCTCAGTTTCTAAATTTAACTTGTTACTAGAAAGTTTGGCTTATTCTTCTCCTGCAGTGCAACTTCTTGCAGCAGGATCCGGCATGTTAGGACGGGGGGTGCATTCCACTCGTCAGTGACACCTCTCCAAGACCTTCATAAGGTGCTTCAGTCATTGAATCGATTGGGCAGACTCGGCAATAGTTGAGCGGACCTGTTGCCGTGATAAGACTCTCAAACAGCTGCACGCAAACGGCGCAAAGGAAGAGGGAAAATACGAGGACCGTCAACTTGCGGTTGCGGACCTACAAGAGCAGATTTGGACGAATGGTCGATCTCGATCTACCTCTAAGACAGTCTTGCTCAGAGATCATCAAGAGCAGCTATCACTCTCTCACGATTCATTAATAATTCATGACAGGTCTTTACGACGCCCTCTGTGGTCAGAAGCTCACTTTCCATCGTCTTTGCTTTGTCTGCGGTTTGCTTCAAGGATGCGAACGTTTCGTCCACTGACAATGGACGAACGTCATTTCATCCTTCTATCAAGCGGATGTTCATGAACACACAAATTTTAGAAGCATTTCCGCCTTCGATTTCGTCAGCTCTTCACGATCCCATTGACTAGTCATATTGTTTTCTACAATAAGCTGTGCGTTTTCCAGAAATAGCTTCAAAAAGTAATGGTATGAGATCACATTTCGTTGCTTCTCCGGATTCACACGACGTGGTTGAACTGTTTCCTCGTTTCTAGTAGCCCAGAGATGGTTTAAGCAGGCCATGGCATCATGGTATTTTAGAACCTGAAGTGAATTAGCGCAAAACAGGCGCCACTCGTCAGTGGAACACATACCTGTTCGAACATCAAAAGATATACCTCGATTTCATACAATAAAAATTTACCGTGATATTATGGGTTTAATGACAAGCTCCTAGTTTTGGACACCGCCGGCAGAACAACAATCTCATGTCAATTTTCAGAATTCACACAAAGTAGTGCAGTTTTACGCCTACGTGCTACATGTGTTGTGCCCTGATTAAACGGTGCCCCAAAGCTGACAGGATCACAGGAAATGTGCAGCTACGTTTAGTGAATCTGGAGAAATGGCAGAAGGATATTTTCAATCCGGGCGATATCGAAAACTAACAATTATCTCGTAAGTCCATAATTCCAGGGTTAATTTTTATTCGCTTCATGTTACGTTTCAAAATAATTGTTTTATTTATTTAGATAATTTAAAACAGATTGACTAGCGAACCACTCTTATCCAACCTGAGGCAACGTCCTCACGATGCAACGATCTT